ATCAACTTAGATTAAAACATTGAGGATAATGTTTGATTTAAGTGTGGGAAAGGAACTTTATTCGCTTTCTAGTTAGATTTCTCGCTTTCTAGTTAGAGTTAGATTTAATGTTTTCAAGTATTCTAGTATAGTATTTTCTTTAAATGAAGTTTGTCTTATCAAGTCCTTATAACATGGATTTTGATGTCTATTGAAATTTTTCCTTTTCTTTAGCCATACCGAATTTTTTTACAAAAAGAAACAGTGGTTGTTTTAAATTATGGTTATTAGACAAGTTTAGGATATGTTATATAGAATTGGGAAATGTCCTGAAATATCAGTATCGTTTTAACACCGTAATCTCTCAAATATAAAAGTCGATTTGGATAATTATTATGCTTTCACCTTAAAATCTAACCCTTAAATAAAGCCTTAAGTATTTTATTTTAGCAGTCGACACCATCCTAAGCACACTCTAGAAAAAAGGATAACCGATGAGTATAAGTGAGTGATCCTAATTTAATAATAATTGAAATAGGGAATCAACCCACTAAGTTAGGTGACCCTTACCAGGTCATTTAGCCCAACAGTTGTGGAACCTGCAAAAACTTAAAACCCATTATTAGTTGGTTCAGAGGTCTCTGGTGCTGAACTTGGTAGGGAGGACTATGGCTTGATCCCCCCGCAGCTACAATTGGGAAATAAATGGGGTATACCACCTTCGGTACCAGAACCCCGTATAAATGATCGGAATCTCTAACTGGTTACCTAGACATTTACGTCAGCTTATTTGTACCAGATTTAAACTCCATTTGGAGAAGGTTTCTTAATTTATTTCCGCATTTACTTTATTTTCCCTACATTATTTATCGCTTTATTTATCGCATTTACTTGTATCGCACCATTTATTTTCATGTTTACTTTCACACTTAAAACCTTTATCACTTTATTTTCAATTACCATGTCCGGCTAAATTCTTAATGCTGAGATGTAAGGATCATCTATAGAGGATGCTCTAAACATGGTCTTTGTAGGATTGCTTAATGGGCTATTTTTGCTTTAAATATAATCTTTCTGCACTTATTTTAATCTTCTTATACGAAAGTGAAGCAATAAAACTTTGGGTAAGATCGAAATCTGTCCGACACAAAAAGATTAAGATTTATTTGATTTTGGTTAGCAAACACCACGAAAGAACTTTGTTAGTTAATTAGGGTTATTTAACACAACTAAGTTAAGAGTTAGATTTCTTAAAAATAAGTTCACTACTTTAACGTAATGCGCATTGTTCATATGTGACAAATGAACGGGTAGATTTAAAGAGTAAACTCAGTTCGGAATCGACGAAAGTGATAGTTCTCGTTAAATCAATTTTTTTCAGTTGAAAATATTTCCCGATAAGAGATCTTTATAGAGACCGCTAAAGTATTGTTAATTGATGTGAATTACATTTTCAGCATCGTTATTAATCGGCTTCTATTAAAAGTTTATTTACTTTCATATCTTTCTTATTAAATTTTCAATCATCTTAGATAAATACCGTATCAACTAGTAGCACTATAATTGACATTGGTTTCTATGGTTCGATAATCTTTTAAAACTACCTCGATAGGCTGTGCACTTACAGTTAGAAAATATATACTAAGTAGCCCACGATCAGTGAAATCCCAGGTTAAAGCCAAACTCCTCTAAAACCTTCTCCTCAGATACCTCTAAATCAATCACAACCATGCGCACCACCGTCACATGGTTAATATGAAGAGGTATGAAGAATGTACCAACGATCGGGATATGAAACAGGGAATCGACGTCATCCAATGTGATTGTCATCTCCCCAAATGGAAGATGAAAGGATGATATCTTTGGGTGCCACCTCTCAACAAAAGCAAACAACAGAGAGGTGTCCAACATGGTCAAGGAGCACTAAGCGAACTCTAGAATATGAAAATATCTAACAATACTAACCTCCTCAGGCATGTCACCCTCTGGGAAGTTCTTGAACTACGAACCATGGGAAGCGACCTTCAGCACCAGACCCTCCTGTAAGAAGTAAAAATAAAATATTGTACATCAACTTTCAAACACTTGCAAAAATAAAATATTATGCATCAACCAATTAAAATATATACTTCGACCAGCCATATCCTGTAACCGACATGGTCAGCAAATCCTGTGAGCACGGACCTGTCTGAGGGTCCTCCTAGAAAGGCTACATCAGTGTTAATTGATAGCTCCGTAGACGCACGAGTCGTGGTGTCTGTATCAGTGGAGGACACCTTGTCAACACGCTCAGCAACAACCTCCTGAACATATTCAGTTGTCGGCTCCACAACCTGCTCGGCAACCGACTCCATAACCTACTCAGAAATGGGCTCCACAACCTGCTCGGGAATCGGCTCCACAATAAGTACAACCTCCTTAATAGTTTGCTCAAAATTTGGCTCAATCACAGGAACATCCATAGGAGCAAGATCATGTACCTCATCGGTAGTAGAAACTCTAACTCCTCAATGGTGGTGTATGAAGAACGGCGCCTGCTGCTCAGCCATCCGTTTTCAGTGAGAACCATTCGGAGGACGTCATCCATATTATAGCTCAGAAGCTTGTGCTTTGTCAGCTCGGGCCTGAGCTTCCGCTCTATCGACCACCTTGCCCGCAACATAACCATCTTTACTCCAGGTCCTCACTGAAACAATGAATAAAAGGAGGGAAAAAATTAGGAAAATATGAACTACCAGAAATTTAGAAATTTTCAATATTTTTCAAAAAAATTGAACTACCAGAAATTTTTAAATTTCCTGTACATGCTGCAAAGCTCTGTAAATTTCAAAATCTCAGGTACAAAAGGTAAATACTAAACTCGAAAATACCGAATATTTTGAAATTTCCAATACAAAATACCAGAAATTACAAAAATCCACCATAAATTCCTTACTATTTCATTAAATTTCCGGTATCGCCTTAAAATTTTCAATATCGCCTAGTGAATTTAAAGAATACGGTGTGGTACTGGAAACTTTGAATTTTTGAGAAATTTTTGGATTTAGATAATTTAGTCTTTTTCATATCTTTTGGGGGTGCCATGTATAACGGGGGTGCCATGTTAAATCCTTGGAAAGCCCACATGTATCTGTGGGAAGTGATGGTAATTGTGGGTTTTGGGTCGTGTCTGTTACTTGGTAAAAGAGAGGAGAATCACACTCTTGTACGCCAAACACTTATTTCGGAGTTGACGGTGCATAGGGAACTTTACACCTGACTATATGTGACTACAGAAGCATTCAATAAAGTTCACAATGCTTTTGTTCCAATTGTTAGCATTCGCGCACCAGTTGAAAAGTAGACGAGCTTCCCTGAAATGGGTCATCTTATAGCAAGTGCATATGAGAGGGTGCGTATCTACTTGACAAGATATAATTTTTCGGAAACATTTTTCCTCTTCGGGCTCTCCCACCTGAAGATCCATCCGACCCCTTCATGTGTATTGGGTACCTTAGATCACGCCATTTTGTTCAGATTTATTTGAAACTGATGTGTCATATTCTGACTACATCAGTGGAGTGGACGACACATTCGCAAAAGAGGCGAAAACTTGACCGAATCACTTTTTGGAAAAGATGGTAGAGTTCACCAATTTGATGGAGCTTGAGAGAGAATCAAATAGGGAGAAGTCGAAGAAAGAATCAGTTTTATATTTAAGTGGTAATAATTCGTTCGGTACATTTTAGAATGTAATCGAACTATTTTTTGAATGTATTATCGTACACAATATAAAATCTATACGATTCAATACATATAAAACATATTATCTATATTTAGCTTTACAACTGTTTATTTTTTACATGTCTCTTTGGTGTTGTACCCTAAATTTCGCCCCTAATTTTTTCAGTCGCACTTTCATATCATATTTTGTCATTTGATCACAATCATTAATAAATAGCTTCATTCATCACATTTGCATCATTTAATCGTATTTAAGTTAACCAAAACTCAGTTTAAATCGACATTTGCATCATTTTGTAGTTGAAAAATACCCGATATTTCACTTCATGCATTTTTATCTGTTTACTCAATTCTTGTATTGCTCCAAGTTGTTTATATGTCGTTAATAAAAATATTTAGGTTTTATAGACAGACTATTAAAAGCGATTCGACATTGTCCAGAAAATTAGCGAGAAAAATATTTCAAGTTTTCACCTTTTACCGATCATTTTATGAATCCGCGTTTTGCGCAGATTATGACGGTATGCTTGTTTTATTTTTTGGTACAATTGAAGTCTCGTTTTTAACAATAAACGTATGTTTCGCCTGATATTTTTATTATCATTTTATTTCGATTTTGACTTTTTGGATATTTTTTTCTTTAATCTTTGTGACATGTAGTTTATTTTAATGTGTTCATTTTATTTTTTTGGATAAATTTTCGTCCGTTTTTTTATCGTTTTCAGTCATTTTGGGTCTTTATTTTTTATTCAAAAAAATTCAAAAAAATTATTTTAAATGGAATTAATTTTAATACTTTCAGTTTTTTATTTCATTTTTATCATTTAAGGACGTTTTAGTCATAAAAAATGTTAAATACACCTTGCTCTATTTCTATTGGTTGATAGCATAATTTGTGGATTAATACATACAGATTAATTTTTGAACAGACATGATTAATTTGATATCATTTTTTTCCTTTTCATTTTCCTATTTAAAGCCTATTTCACTCTTTGTAAATCCACCAAGACAAAAAGCATATGCAATAATCTTTCCCTCTTTAACTTTCTATCCTTCTCTTCCTAATAACAAAACAAAAAAACAACAACACAGTAACTCTTTTACCCCTCTCCCTCTTTCCACACGTGATGCTCCCTCCTGTTTCCTTTTCTTCAAACAAACCAACCTCTATCAATTCACCACTGATTAACCCACCTTCAAGTTCTCACCAATTATCACATCCCGCTTCATCTCGCCCTCAGTAAGAGACCCATTCATCTTCACACAAACAACGCCCCTTTTATCTCCTCCGTGAACTGCTACTTCCTCTTCTCTTCACCGCACAACAACTCCACCACCTTTTCGTCACCGTCCCAAATCACCCCCTTCAGTAACCTCTTCATCAAACTCACCTCCTTCAACAACTTCAGCAACTCACCTTCATCCGCCTTTCTCCGCAAATCAGAACACTTTCCATCGCCCATCTTGGTACTTACTCCGTCTAGATTTTGCGACACAACATCAACAAGCCATCTACACTTCTGCTCAACACGCAATTTGCTTCCAATCTTCCTTAAATCAATTTCCGTTTTCGATGTTGTTCGGTAATTCTTCGATTCCTCTTGATTGTTTAAACTGTATAGTTATGTTCTGATTAATTATCGGATTGCTGCTTGTTTTGTTATTTTGTTTTGATGTGAATTGGTAACTGTTACTCTGTTGAAAAGTTCTGGGTTGAATTTCTGAAAACATTTTGTTAGTGTTTGTGCTTGATATTTTTTGAACTGTTATGCTTTGAGATCATGTTCTGGTTCTGGAGTGCTATGCGACTGTTTCACGTGGTGGATGTCGTGGTGGATGTCGAGGATTTAGAAATATGGCATTTAGAGTTCGAGCTCTTGATGAAAGAGATGTTGACTCGGTTTTTATAGGGAAGCTTGCTAAAATTGCTACTTCTAAGATGATATCTCCTAAGGAACTCAATTCCAATTGGCAATGAGCAACAACAAGCCTACTTGTCGCGATAGGGTCGTGCTTACCTGATTTTATGATGGAAGAAAATTTTCATTTATCAGGAACAAGTTCAGCATTACAGGCTATGGTTCAAATCCTTGCAAAATTTGCTTCTAGTAGTCCCTTGCTGTTCATTCCCCACTGGAAAGGTGTACTCTCACGAATTTTGCCAATTCTTGAGAATGTGCGTGACATGCACCGGCCAAATTTTGCAAATGCATTCAAGTGTTGTTGTCAAGCTGCCTGGAAATATAGTACATATTTTCCTTCACATTTATCGCAAGATGGTGATGTCATTACAGGTCATTTCTAAATTCTGCTTATGAGCTTTTGCTAAGAATTTAGGCAGCTTTACCAAGGCTTGTTCCTACAGTAGGGGATTTATATAAAGAGGATATTGATATCGCCTTTCTGGTCACGTGCAGTCTCCATAACCTGTTGAATACCTCTTTACCGTCAGAAAGAGACCCTCATATACTTGATTTTGAGGATTTGACTCTTACTTTAGTGACACTTCTACCCGTGGTATCTATGAATAGTGAAAGCAAAGATCAAACAGATTTCTCTGTGGTATTGAAGATGTATAATGAGGTTAACATGGTTGGTGAATTACTTTGTTTTCTTATTAGTTTTGAATCCTTTTGAGGTTTTTTTATTTAGTATTAACGATTTGTGTTAGTTGATGTTCGGATTTATACCTTGCCGAAACTTTAATTCAAAACTTTTTTTAATCACTTTTGAACTTAATATGAAAATGACATGAGTTTATTAAATTGTCAGTGTTGATATTGTCATGTTGTTTGAGTGATTTTAAAGAGTAGTTTTGATTATGTTTCAAGTTGAAATCAATTTACAAAGTTTGTTGGTTTAATATTGGTGTTTGTACATAAGCTTGAAAATTGATTTTTATGTTGTCTAACTTTTGATTTGTATATTTAAGTTTGATTTTTCATGTATCGGAATTGAATTGAATTACAGAATAAATTCTTGATTTTTACTTGTGTAAATAGTCATTTGTTCATGTGCATCATACAATTTCATTTCAATTTCATACTTTGTGATTACTAACATAGATTTTAATTGTTTCAATTTCCTTCATTTTATGTTTATACCGCTTATGCTACTAACGAGTTTGTTTACTGTGAAGGTTTTTGAAAATCGTTTCAAGTATCCATTCTCACATAGCGCCTCCATAATTCATACACTTCTCCCTTTACCTCTTTATTAGATTTTACTATTTTGATTTAATATTTGGTACTGTAAATATATACTTGTATATAATTTTTTTTTACTGTATATTTTATTCACTTCACTTGTAAATAAATTATGGTTATATAAATATTATTTTCATTGCGTTACGATTTTAAACTTTAATTCAAATTAACTTCTGAAAAATCGTACGGACGCATATAATTTTTCTCGTGCTATTAGTTTTGTCTGTATATTTCATGTGATGCAGTGAATCTTATACCGTGAGTTTATTCGATATCTCGACCCTTATTTGGTACCGTGAGCTTTATCCATGCATTCTTCGTTCGTGATTTATTTTCACGTGTTGCACTATCTTTATTCACTGCTTGGAGTATTATCTTACATCTGGATTTTTGATGCTGTCGACTTGTGATTTATTTTCACCAGAGGTTTGGTATACTCTTTGCTTATTTTTTCTGTCTGTGGCTTTAAACTCCAAAGGTATAGGAATACAACATTGACTTCATCATGTCAAGTAGTGATTTCTTATTCAGTCAAATTCTTTTTACCGTATCTTTTACTCCTGTACATAGAACATTCTTTTCTCCCATCTTCTTTAATTTTCAAAATCTTCTTTGTTTATAAACACAAACCGCTTTCATAATAAACCTCGATCTTGTTGAGTGCCTTTTGTTTTAAAACTTCTTTTCTTTAAACAAACTTCAATTCACTTAATCATACTTCGACATCTTTCGAAATTAACAAAAACACTTCAACTCATTCAAACCTTTTTGTGCGCTCGAGCACCTTTACCCTTCAAAACTTTTTTCAAGGTGAGACATGATTCATTTATAGTCGAGCAACATTCTTCTATCCATGTGGTTATAAAGGTGTCGACTTTTCCACTTGAGTGCTAGAGGCGTTCTCAAACCCTCACTCTTGTTGACGCAGGGTCTATCTTTCTCACACTTTGTGGGCGTTAGTCGAGATTTCTCTCCTAACAATGATGGCTTATCTCCTTGTTTTAAAACAATCAACAGACAAGTCTTTTTTATCCGAACTACGGTGCTCTGACTTTCCCACTACACGAGGGAGTACGTAGGCACTAAGTCTTACGACCCAAGGCGAGCAACAAAAATAATAAAAAAACATTTCATTTTATTTTGTTTGCAAATACTCATTCATTCTTTTCTTTTAGCAAGTAAACCTTTACATAACACTACTTTTAAAAGAAACCAAACAAAGTTGATCCTACGGAATACCGTAGATGCTTAGGGTGCTAACAGCACACGAGGTATGCCTGTTTGCCACCCCTATCTCCAGCACACGAGGTGTGAATCAAAAAGTGACATTTCACGACTAGGCTACAATCAATACATTATTAACTAATGCAATAAATTGGTATACATATTTTGCAAAAAGTATTGGGCCTAATATGTAGATGACCTAACAGATAAGCATGATTGTACTAATGTTTGTTGAGAATTTCTTTTTTATACCATATTATTATTTTGTAGACCTCTGACGAAAAACTAAAAATATCTTAAGAATTCAGATGTGCATATCTGAACGCACCATAAATAATTTTTTATTAAATTTACTTCGCATATATATGCGAAGTAAATTTAATAAAAAATTATTTATGGTGCGTTCAGATATGCACATCTGAATTCTTAAGATATTTTTAGTTTTTCGTCAGAGGTCTACAAAATAATAATATGGTATAAAAAAGAAATTCTCAACAAACATTAGTACAATCATGCTTATCTGTTAGGTCATCTACATATTAGGCCCAATACTTTTTGCAAAATATGTATACCAATTTATTGCATTAGTTAATAATGTATTGATTGTAGCCTAGTCGTGAAATGTCACTTTTTGATTCACACCTCGTGTGCTGGAGATAGGGGTGGCAAACAGGCATACCCGTCCTGCAAAAGCCCATAAAAAATGGGACAGGACGGGGCAGGTGTAATGCCCCGATAATTTAATTAATTATTTAATTAAAATTATTAGTTGGAGTTGAGAAATATTGTGAAATATTGTTAAGTTGTTATGTGACATTATTTGATTAAATGGTGGTTTATTAATATTAAATATATTGGAGAATTATAAGATTAATTGTTGGTCTTATTTAAGTGATGTCATGTAGTAAATATGGGAGTGTGAATATTGTTCCAATAAGAATTACTAGAATTACAAGGTTAAGTGGATATAAAAGGAATTAGGTTAATTGAGAAAAAGTGAGAGAATAGATGGGAGAAACTCATTCCCGTTTTTAATACAGCAATCTCACTAAATTGGAAATGCCCGATTCGTTAACCGTTGGATCATGCTCAAATGTTGAGGGTAGGTTCGCAACACCTACATCTAACTTTTGACCGTTGGGATCTTCAAAATAAGTTATGAGTTGGGAGATATCATCATCTCACTGTAGCTGCATATTTGGGAAAAAAATTCACCTTAGATTCTGATCTAGAGAGGAAAAAATCTCGGAAAGTTTTGGTACAAGAGAAGTTGCAGAGAAGAGAAAAATAAGGGTTTTGAGGAGAAGAAGAGGGATACGTGGAAGTTATACCAAGCGGCCAAGATGAGATTCAATTGGAGACCCTTAAAGTTACCTTCAATCCAAACCAGGTAAGGGTGGGGTTCAATCTCTGTAACCGGGTATATGATAAACCGTATGTGGGGTTGGGTTGTATAAATTTGTGGCATGAATTGTTGTCGATTTAGTTATATTTTGATTCTGTGAAGATTATCAGTCCTGCAATTTTAGTTGTCAGTGAATTTTCATAATGTGTTGATGAAGTTATTCTGCAATTTATTTAAATCGTATTTTTGTTATGATGTTGTTCTGGCTATTATTGAGTTGTTGTCCTGATATGAGACTCGAATGAACATATAAAAGTGGTGGAAAGACTATGTCATATCTTAGTAAAATAATTTAGTATCAGATTGGATTAAAAAAGTTGCAGGAATAAATTGTAATGCTTTAGTCAAATGAATAGCAGAATATATATCTAAGAGTAGCAGAAATAATAGTGTATGGACTAATTTAGCTGAGCATTGTTAGGAAGTATCAATAGATATAGAAATTGTAAATTATTATACAAAAAGTATAACGGAGAATTTCAGTAACAGGAGGAATAAGTTGAAATTGGTTTTTGTTTATAACTAATATTTGTCATTGACAGGAAGTTGTAGTAATAGGAGTTGTAGATAGCAAACAAGTAGTTTTGGTGGAGACCAATAATAGCAATAAGCTAAATAACAGAGGTAGCGTAATTTAGTAGAATAAATTGATTAGTATCACTATAAACGAATAATAGTAATAACAATCTATAAAACAGTACCGATTAGCTGAATTTGTAGATTTAGGCGGTAAAAGTAGTTAACCGGAATTAGTTGAAATTATCAGAGTGAGTCGTATATACATATGGGTAATTTTAGTTGGTTTGTTTTGTTAGAATTATGTAGAATAAAGTTGATTTACAGGTGAAGTCGAATTAAGTTGAATGGTTCCGGTTTATGGAATTGTGTTGTATACCTTGCTGAAAAATATGAAATTGCTGGTGATGATAAATTTGGTTGAATTGCCTCTATTTATGGGAAATATTAGGTTATAGGCCTATAGCCAATGATGAGATGTTGTGTTGTTGTGATTGTCTCTGAATTCTTGTTGATAATGTGAAGTTGCAGAGATTTTAGATGATGATGAATTACCTCTATTTACTGGTAATAATGGTGATGTGGGCTGATGCCTTGCGATGAATGATGATTGTTGTTAGTATGTGGTGGTGCATTCATTGAGTCACATACATTTGCATACTCTGTGATGGCCTGTATTGGCGGATTTTGGGAAGGCCTGTATTGGTAAACTGCGAAGAAGGCTTATGCCTTGTTGATGCCTCTATTAATTGACAATTTTTAAGTTGGGAGTTCTGCTCCGATGGTACCATGTGCATGTGCATTGTGATTAAGTCGCATTTGATATTGCATCTTAAGTTGTGGTGAAGATAGATTAATTGTTGCTTTATGTTGTTGACTTGTTGTGACAAGTATTATCTAAAAGCTGTGAATTTAGTAGTTATGTCATGTTGATGTTTTATTGTGATTAAAGTTGTTTGTAAGTTGTGAAGTGGTAATTTTATATGATCTGATTTAATATATTATTTATCATATGACTAATTATATAGTTTGATATCTTACCCTTCTATTTGAATGTTGCCCTATGTTGGTAACGTACAGGTAATCAAGAAGGATAGTTATTACCTCGTTAGTTTGAGTCGATGTTGTCGCTCTGATACGTAGCACTCGGGAGGATGAACACTTGATGTTTAGTTGTTGATTATTATTTTGGTTGCTGAATTTTTAAGTTGATTACATGAATTAATTATTGTCTTGAAGTTATTTTAGTTGAATAAAAGATGTTAAGTGAATTGAAGTTGAGTATGTATATTCCATTTCTTATCAATAAAAAGTTGTTTGATTTTAGATTGTTATCGATTCATCCGAGTTAAGTGTTATGTATCTGTTTGTATGCGATTAAATGAAGATTGATTTTTAGTTGAAAATGTAGCATCCTATTTATGTTGAACTCTGATTTTCTTATTATTCGTCGGGTAGAAATGGGGTGTTACATTAGTGGTATCAGAGCAGGTCGGTCCTCCTGACCAAGTTGTCTAATGTTATTTATTCCTTAGTTCGCGACAAGTGTGTGAAACACTGTCGGTACTTGTTTGCCTTAATTGCAGGAAGTTGGTTGAAGATAAGTGGGGGAGAAGCTTTGCTTCTCGGATATGTTCAATTGAAAGGTGTTGGTTTGGTGTTCTGTCGATGATGAAAATGCAAGAATTGTTGGAGTCTTGTTGTTCCCGAATTTGAAGGTTGCTTGGATTCAAGGTCTTGTTGTTAGTCGAGTTAGAGCGCTTTGAGAGAAATTGATCAGACATTATTGGTACTTACTTCTCGAAGAATGAAGAGCGATGTAATATTTGTTGATT